ACAGATTAAAACCCTTAACAATGAAAATTGTGTTCTCATTCTGAGGACGAAATTTAGAATAATTTGAACAAGTGATATTTGAAATTTATGCCTTGTGGTATTTACTGTACCAATAAAGTTAACATATGTGGTCATTTTCCTGGAAGATTGCGAGCACAATACAGTAGGTGGTCGGCGGCAGCTTAGCTTAATTTCAAAATGCGTAATAGTAATGATAAGTATTTAGCCATATATCTAGGCCTTAACCAAAGAAACCCAAGATTGATTTGTGGATACTTATCGCCACGATGACCAGATTATTTCTTCTCTCGGTAATGTAATTTTAATATTTTTACTTTGGAAGATGTGCATTCCACCCCCTCCAAGTTTAGGAATATTATTACCGGATTAACCTTTCAGTGTGTGTTCAGTTCTCTCTACCTTTCACAATTTTAAACAGCTGATGAACTTAAGAGTTGAAATTTGGTAGGGAGGTGAGAGTGGCCCAAGGGATGGTCTTGCACTATTAACTCCAGTCCCGCCAAGGTGAGTGACTCATCAAGTATACATTATAAACATATAATAAGACTTATAAGAGTACCGTAATGTATAGCCCGATGGAGAACGTTGTGAGTTTAGTGTCGTCACCCCGATAAGGGTTTGGGTTCCTAAATGTCCGGTTTCTCTTCATGGATTTTTTTTACAAGTGAATTGTAAAAGTATTTTGCAAATATGAACACTCCCGAAGAGTACAAGTACTTCAAACTTAAATTTCACTGTTTAATCCACTACTTATGCGCTTTTAACAATAATCCATCAATGAACTATGATTTTAGCATGGGCGATGAATAATAGACTCTTAGATCTTCTAGGGAAAAAGAAAGGAGTATATAGAAAAGTTAAGAAAGGCGAAAATCACTTACTTGGTTACTATCAGAACCTAACAAGACAGGTAAAAACAGAAATTAGGAAAGCAAAGAGAAATTATGAAATCAAGGTAGCAAACGAATCGAAAAATAACCCCAAAGCTTTTTATCAACTGTATAAATCAAAGGTTAGAGATACAATAGGTCCCCTTAAAACTACGACAGGAGAAATGACTGATGATGAGTTAGAAATGTAGTACGTTAAATAGTCATTTTCGCTCCGTATTCACAATGAAAACCTAGCACAGTTTCCAGAAGTTCATAAGGTATATAACGACAGTATAGAAAATATGTTGATGAATATCAATATTACTAGTAACGATGTGCTTAAAGTAATTAACAAACTGAAGCCTCATAAATCGCCTGGTCCAGACGAGGTATATGCTAGAATATTAAAAGAATGTAGAGATGAGTTGAGTAATCCATTAGCAGTTTTATTTAATAAGTCATTAGAATCGGGCCTAGTGCCAGCTTGGAAACTTGCAAATGTAGTTCCGATTTTCAAAAGGGTGATAAATCAATAGCATCAAATTACCGTCCCATTAGTCTCACGTCAATCATAGGCAAGTTGCTAGAGTCAATTATTGCTACAAAATCAGAAGCCACCTTGAAACATTCAACTTAATTCATTCTTCTCAGCACGGGTTCACCCAGGGACGTTCTTGTCTCACAAATTTGCTTAGCTTTTTCTCAGAAGTATTTGAAGCGGTAGATAATGATAAGTCATATGATATAATTTATTTAGATTTCAGTAAAGCATCGATAGAGTCCTCATGAGAGATTGATAAGGAAGGTAGAAGCACATGGAATAGGTGGATCAGTATTAAAATGGATTAGGTCATGGTTAACTGGTAGGAAACAAAGAGTCAGCATAAATGGATTAAAGTCAGACTGGGTGCGGTCAAAAGCGGAGTTCCCAGGGATCTGTATTAGCCCTCTGCTGTTTGTTATATCATTAATGATCTTGATTTAGGCATAACTAGTAGGATTAGTAAATTTGCAGATGATACCAAAATGGGGAGAGTGATAAATTCAGACAGTGACTTTGAACACCTTCAAAGAGATCTAGATACCTTACATGAGTGGTCAGTAGACTGGCAAATGAATTTTAATACTGATAAATGCAAGGTACTACAGATAGGGAAGACGAATACAAACGTTAAGTATAAACTAGGTAACACGGAAATAGAAAACTCAGTTTGTGAAAAGATCTAGGTGTATTTGTTAGCAACGACTTGAAACCTAGAAAACAATGTATTAGCGTTCGCAACAAGGCAAACAGGATTCTTGGGTTCATATCTAGGTCTGTGAGTAACAGAACTGCTGACGTTATCTTGAAACTTTACCTAGCATTAGTGAGGCCACACATGGATTATGCGGTTCAGTTCTGGTGTCCTTATTATAGAATGGACATAGATTCTTTGGAGAGAGTACAAAGAAGAATGACAAAAATGATCCATAATATTAGAAACCTTCCATATGAAGAAAGACTGAAAAGCTTACATTCATTAGAGAGCGTAGAGTTAGGGAGATATGATAGAGGTGTACAAGTGGGTAAGTGGGATTAACAAGGGTAAAATGGAAGATGTTCTGAAGCTCAGTAATAACGAAATAACTAGAACAAATGGCTTTAAATTAGATAAATTCCGATTCAGAAAGGATATAGGCAAGCACTGGTTTGGTAATAGAGTTGTGGATATGTGGAATAGGCTACCGAGTGCTATAGTAGGATCGGGGACGCTAGGGAGCTTCAAGACGAAGTTGGATAGGCACATGGAAGTGCTGGGATGGGTGTGAAAGGGATCTGCCCTGTATGGGCCAGTCGGCCTCCTGCAGTATCCCACTTTCTTATGTTCTTATGATTACTAAGAATACTGAAAGAAAGCACGGCCATTTTTCGTTAACCACTCCTCGCCTTTTTTCACATGAACAATATATTTTTTTCGCTAGTTTTCTTGCCGTTTTAGATGATTCTGACATTTATCTTAGGAGCAAATCACATTTTTTTACTTAGGTTACGTTGGTTGGTTCCTTTGGTATAAGAATAGGTTAGGTTAGTTTAGGTTGGCTGATTGGTTCCTGTGGTATGAGAATAGGTTATTTTTGGTGTTTTCCTCAAATTTGACCAATTTTTTTATAAATTAGCAGTTTTGAAAAAAAAATGCATTTTAATTTTAACAGACACCGCTAATTTGCAAAAAAAATTGAGGTCAGATTTGAGTAAAACACACTAAAAATAATCTATTCTCATACCACAGGAACCAACCAACCAAGCCTAACTAAAAAAGAAAAGAAAAGAAAAGTGATTTACCCCGAAGATAAATGTCAGAATCATCTAAAACAGCAAGAAAACTATGGCAAGCTCTTTATAAAAAAATGGTGGACCTCTTCTAGTATTTTCCGATCACTGTTGTCTAATTCACTTATGATCATCGGCGTGTACTACTGCCTCAGTTCCTTACTACAGTATGTCACTTCCCAGCGTCATTCTACGCGCACTCCCAGGGTCGATGATCACAAGCAAGTCATGGTACATCTGTGCCCACTGTCTGTTTTCGTCATCTCGGATCAAGATAACCGCAAAAGCATTTATAACTTGTGTGGGGTAATTCTGAAAATCCCAAGATGAAATTTCAATAAAAAAAAAACATATGGTAGAGGCGCCACATACTTGCATCTCTGCATTAAAGGAAATATATTTGTGGAGATTCAGTAAAAAAAAAAAATAAATAAAATAAATAAATGAAAAAATAAATAAATCCAACAACTTGACCCAAGATTTCTTTTATTACAGTCACACGTGCAGGGAGAAGTTCTAGGTCCGGCTGACCCCTACCGTGAAATATTTCCCTTACACATTTGCCCTCACTTGGACGAGCTGCATATCCAAAGGGAGCGGGAAGAACACTGATAATAAAAGCGTGACACTAGAGGTCCTACATAATTGTGTATATAACAAATAAGAATTAAAACAAGAATATTTATGAAAAACTACAATGGGTACAATCGAATTAATTTCAAATGTTTTTCTTTAATAATACTTAAAGTTGGTCCACTCTTAACCCCACGCTGCGATACATAAGAACATAAGAAAATAAGGAGTCTGCAATAGGCCGGTTGGCCTGTGCATGGCAGCTCCTGTCGAGAGTTACTACCACTCTCTATCATCCATAAATCTATCTAGCCTCCTTTTGAAACTTTCCAGAGTTCCCGCACTTACTACAAAGTTGCTAAGCTTGTTCCACTCAACTACCCTATTTGTGAACCAGTTCCTTCCTATCTCCCTCCTAAACCTGAACTTATCCAACTTGAATCCGTTGCTCCGAGTCCTATCCTGCTCGGATATTATAAGAACTTTAACTATATCCCCTTTATTGATTCCTTTCACCCACTTAAATACTTCTATCATATCTCCCCGCACTCTTCGTCTTTCTAGGGAATGCAAGTTCAGTTTCTTTAGCCTATCCTGATATGGAAGGCTTCTAAGTCCCGGAATCATTTTTGTCATTCTTCGCTGCACCGACTCTAGTGAATTTATATCCATTCTATAATAGGGGCACCAGAACTGAACCGCATAATCGAGGTGCGGCCTAACTAGCGCAAGATATAGTTGCAATAAGACCTCTGCACTCTTGTTACTTACACTTCTAGATATAAAACCCAATACTCTGTTTGCCTTATTTCGAACATTAACGCACTGTTTTCTAGGCCGTAGGTCCGGGCTTACAAGTACCCCTACAGTAGTTCTCTTTCACAAGTCGACTTCTCTAGGTTGATGTTGTTAAGGCTGTATACATGTTAATAACCTTCCTTAGGCAGTGTTTATATCGTCCCCAGATGCCACCTAATAGCGCTTCTTCTTAACACTCCCGTAACCCACTTATCCACCAAAGCTGTAATGACCAACGGTACACCATCGTTCAGTAGGTTCAGTAGTACAGTACACGCTCCTCGCAGACCGTTCACCGCCAGCTTTGATGAGAGACCACACATCAGTTTTCTGCGATCACAATATTTTGACAAGTTGGGGATACTTAGAATACATCTCACTCTTTCATAACACCATGTCATTACCACCAACACTACAGCACTAACCGATGTGGAAATATAGGATGAGATCAGCTTAGTAACGGTAGTTGCCACTCGTCCAAGACACCGCAGCAAGCGTCCAACAAACACCCTCACTCCGCTAAGGCTGGCGCTCTACTGACACCGACACGACACCGCAGCGCTACAATGTAACAGTGAATCGGTGAACAGGGAGCACTGCTGACCCCCCGCCCCCCCCCCGTACAATATTATTTTATCAGTCATATCTCTCTCACTTAAAAGTATAGTTTACTACTCGCTCTCTTACGTGTTATCTAGAAACACTTGCCAAATAGTGTTATTAATGGTAGCATTTTCACCAACTTGCCCTGTTTTTTCATCTATGTGATTGATTCTTTTATTCCACACTTAAGATTTATTTTATGCATTCCGCAACAACAATTGGAGTGTTTATATAAGTTATCCGAGTGATAGAAACAGAAAACTTGGAAAGAATGGTGAGTGGTCAATGAAACGAGGGTGAGTGAGCGGCCACCTGTTGGGGATGGGTCGGCTTAACATTCTTGAGATTCACCGGAAGACTTCCTGCCTCGCATGTCCCAGCTTCAGTAACGCGTTAAAAAAAAATAAGCGATTAATATATTGTAAATTATTCAATGATGGCAATTAATGGTTGATAATGGGCGTTAACAGAACACTATATAATATGGAATGACATCACCTATACCTGCTGTTCTTGCTTCTGTTAATACTAATTATAATTATTACGTCGATTTAAAATAATCGTGCATTTGAAAAGTTCGACCTTTTAATTGCTGTAGCTCATATGCAAATTATCTTCATTTTATAACTCAGATCAACCTGTTAAAACAGTAACAGCGAGGCGTGCTTGTAGCGTCTGTGTGGACCTGTTCTACTTAACATAATTTTCGTGGGCCTTATGGTACTTTCACTACACATAACTATTAAAAATGTTTCCTCATACCGACTAGTGTAGTTTGTCTTAGGACTTCACGATTAAGACTAGTAAATGATGTTCTGGGGTCGTCACAAAGCCTTTAACAATATGTCGTGACCTACCGCCGCTTATCTAATAATCCAGGGTTTTGCTGGAGGAAGTTATTTCAGGCATAACAATTAAAAATGTTGGGAAATGTGCTGGGAGTATAAATACATATGAAATATATTTAATCCCCAAAGGCCATTGCTTCTTTTCAGATAAAATCATGAACACGTTTAAGAAAAAGTATTTTATGGTGGATGATTCAACCTTACCTCCCGGTGGGGTCTTGTGCGGGTGGCGGTGGTCTGATTAATTCACCAGTCATCGGTCAGTTGACCGGAGTGAAGGGCGGTTGTTGTCTACCACATAGTGAGTGACAATTGCTATATTGCACCTGTCTTCTCGTTTATATAAAAAAAACAGTGCTAAAGAAGTGATACAAACACATCCAGTGGTGGATCCAGGATGGGGGGTGGCACTCGAGGATCTCGCTGACAGTGACAGTAAAGTGACGCTGAACAATATAACAAAATTAACACTTTTGTATTAGTGTTTTATATCAACCTTTTATCACAAACCTTATATACTGTATGTATATATATATATATATATATATATATATATATATATATATATATATATATATATATATATATATATATATATATATATATATATATATATATATATATATATATATCATTAGGAAATTGAAAGCAGACCGCTGAAACACACGTAACTGCACAAACATAACAGCAACAAACTAACGGGACAGTATACATCACTCATAAGCCAATACAACCACAACCTTGGTAACAACACCATCTGCCGCCAGTTCTTTGCACGCCTCCTTTACCACCCACCCAGGGGGTCTGTCCCATAAAGGCTTGTATTGTATATACGGAGAAGATTACTTCTAATTCAGTTGTGTCGAAAAACATGTGAACAGTGCAAGTCCATCTCTATAATACTTGATATACTGCATGGATGGAATATTTACCAGAAGCTGTTGAACAGGCCTGAAGTAAACTTAACATGAATGAAATCAGTACGTTATTGCACACAATAACTGCAGATGGAAACTTAAATCACTTGGAACAGCAACGAAGAGTGCTAGTGCGGTAATCAGTTCTAAGAAACCCTATGATGAGAACACGCAATATGGCTATCAAAGATTATATTCTTATATTTAGTGTTAGCTGGTCGGAGTTAATTTCTCCCCTGTGTGAACCTTGTCCACCCATAGCCTTGTAGTGGAATTCTCCCCTACAAACGCTGTTTGTCGCTGCCTAGCCGACCCCACCAATTCCCCAGTGTGTGCCTCGTGGTCTAGGTCAACCAGCGCCGCCATACACCACGGAGCGGGGGTCAACTGCTAAGCCACGCCTACCCCCGCTATTTAAGACCTGACCTCGTGGTGATCTGCCTCTCATTATCATCATCATCATCATCATCTGCCTCTCTTTCTACCTACACCAACCAGCCAGCAACACCTCCGCCTGCCTGGCGGTCCTCGCTCCTCCGCCTGCCTGGCGGTCCTCTCTCCCGCTGGCGAGCATGGCGACCCACAAGCTGTCCTTCTCTGAGCGTCCTCACCAACCAGCTCTCTCTACATCACGCTTGTAACCATGCTGCCTTCCCAGCACCAAGCTGCATTGTACATCCAATACAACATGTATATAGAGAGCACATTGTGAGTTTCCTTTCTCCAACCCATCCTGAGTGTGAACCAAACAATCTCATACCCCACAGCCTCCTCAGTCGTCAATCATATTACAATCTAGAATGTTGTCCCTCCCCGCGGGTTCTTAATATATACAGACAACCTACCGGAACCAACCTTACACAATGATCACACTATCTTCGCAGAGGCAATGAGGGCACACCATACAGTTCAAGCATTAAAGAACATAAATGACAAAGGAAATGGAAGATAACAACAAACTTCAGCAAATTCAGAACACAAGGTGGAACTAGTCATTGTGGACGGGAAAGTCTACTCATACGGTAATGATAGCAACAAATAAGAACTAAAAAAAAAAAAGGATATCAAAACTTCATCACAGTAAAGGACAACAAATTACGCAACAAACTTTCAAGAATTAAGAAACTTTAAACCCTGAACACACGAAACAAACTAAAACTATATTCAACACTAATAAGTAAAGTGCTACTCGCCTGTACAAAACAATCCATTCAGTGATACACGAATTAAAATAGTACAAACATTACAAAATAAAAGCCTATGATTTATTATAACATTAGTTACGAACAGAGGATAATAAACGAACGCAGTTAATGTAGGCATATACAATAAAGCTAATATAAAAAAAAAACACGTAGGAATAAGTAGAACAACTCTAGCCAGAAACTGTAGCTTACTGGCTCGATAACGAAAGCGAAAGAAGAGTGAAAGAACACTCAAGGTTTAAATCAAGTAAAGCAAGAATAAATGACCCACCAACAATACCAAGATATAGTTAATAACCAGAAAACTACATAACGAAATATAACAAAATAATCTTGTAATATAAATAGTCAACTAAACCCAACAAATTTATATCTTTCAAATTAAATCCAAAAGTTACATCTTATGAACCAAAGTAGCAAGTTGGATCCTATACCACTTCTTTGTAAATTCACTTCCTTTCATTAAGCAAAATAAAAAAAATAAAAAAATATAAAATCATAAAATATGGGAGTAATGTATGACTGGACAACACTTGCCTTACAGAATAATAATATTAGCCAGTTGCTTTTCCTTCACCGACGCTCTCTAAACGGACTACGATACGATATTTCTACCCCCCCCCCCTCCCCCACAAAGAAAAATTAGTGCCATCCCATACGCCTATGACAACGGGAATATTTGGCAACTTTCACAGCCAGCCTATATTTGCCATGTAACCTTACCAAGACCTCTTATCTCCACTCTAATGCTCACCCACGTAACATTATTGCATTAGCTGACACACCCTCATGTCTGTTATGTTACCTCCTGTGTACTGTTGCCGTAATTACTGTTTCACGATGGACAGGGGATGGTGACCTAAATCCAGAACAGAGTTAATATAATCAAGGACGTAAAACATGATGGTTATGAATATTAAAACTTTTGCTCTGGATTCACATATCGAGGGGTGAGGTAAACATTCTTGTCGACCATTCATGGGAATTGACAGATGTTTGGCCTCTCCGTCTCTGTCAACACTGTACTTTACATGACGTGCACAAAGTCGTGGTTAATTAAACACGTGGATTAAATCTGATATGTAGCTCATTACTACGTGGTTACCACTTTTGATTCCTAGCTAAGGGGTATTCTGGACTAATGCTCTCCGACTTGCATGACTAACACAATCACTTAATGAGATCAGATATAGTTAGTACTCATCATAATAAACTGTTTTATATTAGTAAATATCAACGGCAGTGACGTCACGAGGCAGTGTTTCTTACGGCGTGAGAAATGTGTCGTGAGTTGACTATCTCAGGCATATATGTAGCTCTCCTAGTGTGCACTGGCCAGGCGGACGGGACCATAATGATCAATACTCACTTACCTTCACTGTACTAACTACACTTATACCAGAAGGGTACTGCACACACTACTGTATACTTATCAGGTAAAGATTACACACGTGAACAGTTTTAACATGTCACAAGGGAGGGGAACCATTGTCCTCTACAGGTGGTTGTTGAAATTTGGAGTTTTTCAACCAAAGGAGACTACAATGTATCTCCTAAAACTACAACTAGATTTGTACATTATGGATGACTCATTCCAGTTAATGGTATGACCTAACTCTTCGCCTTTTTATGTTCAGTTAACCTAGCAAATAAGTCTTGGCCTGTCTGAACAACATACAGCACAGTACACTTTACCACAACACTGTTCGGGTAACTGAAAACTTTATTGATTTGTTCTTTGAGGTGACTGTAGATTTCCCCCCCACCACACACACAAAAAACATCTTCCCAAACATATTTAAAGTGGAATGGGCAATGAAGGGTAAACTCCATTACCTTCATGTTTCTATTAGCAGATATGGGAAAAATTAAGTTTCACAGTTTACAGACAACCAACCCATTTAGTAAGTTATCTATATATTTTTTAACAACTACTCGATCCAAGAGAAGACAAATGTTGCTTCATACTTTCTCTAAGATCCACATGGTTTGTTTC